AATAACTATTATACAAATTAACAGCACCTCAAAAAACTTTAAAACTAATAAAAATTGAGATCGAGACCCCGGGGCATCGCCCGGGCCTGAGAGCTAGTTATGGCATATGATATAATACCATACTTCAATAATTGCATATGATATATATGATCAGATAAGTATGTAAACAAATTTTCAGAGTTTTGATTCATTCGTACTGTACCTTGTTTAACGCAGCAGCTACCTCATGTGAAAAAGAAATAATGTATGATAAATGATGGATAGGTCATGCTGACCAATTAGATTTAAGATTTTGCGAACAGAAGTCATTTCAAATGCCGTATAAACGATACACATTGTATTCGTTTCAGGTATAGCCTTAATTCAAAAACAATTATTGTCCAGAGGAGATAAATACGTATGTATGTGTCAAACAATGTACTCACATGATAACGACCCAATCGCATTTAAATGCATAATCATGCATGCATGACACATATAGCATCCTGATCAGGTCATTATATAAATCAAATTTATCGGTACGTTCTCCGGATATTAACCGAGCCTGTTTGCCTGTGTGTTCATACTGACCTACATTATAAGAAGAATCCCACCAAGGGAACCATGCTTCAGGTTTCAGGTTTATTGCGGCCGGGTTTACTTATTTCCCCACCGTAACACGACATATAAAATCATAAACATTCTGTTTGCTTTAACTTTTTATATAGAGTCAAAATTAGGGACATTTTAGAAAACCAGAGATTATATTAAAATTTTTCATGAATTTTTTTTTTTAATAGAACATAAAAGGCGATTTTTTAGGCAAAATTTCGATGTTTTAAAACATACACATTCAGTCATTTCCTTTTTGGTTTGTATCACAAACTCTTAAAAATGAAATGGCCAATCAGAGTGTGAAAATTTGATCAGCCCAACATATAATCCGAACACGTGCGAAAGAAGCAAATACTAGTGTTTAAATCGACCTAGGTGCACTAATTAAAAATGTCGGAAATAATCTTTTACATATATTGAGCGTTAATCTTTTCGTAAAAGCTCTAGCCCTATATTTTATTTCACGCAGTATATTTACAAAATAAGATTTCCTTTTTTTGGTTTGTATTACTCGCGAAGATAAGTAAAACCAATAAGGGACATACCATTACCATCCCTTAAAATTTTATCAGTAACATATAAATCACGTGTACCTTGTTGGTTATTTTTTGGTGGATAGTTTCTTTATCTTCAAAAATCAGAATATGTTACCTTCTTTTGATTAAAATTACACTTAAATCTGATAGAACGATTTATTTGAAGTTTAACAATTTATCTTAATAATCTTTAATACTTAAAAACCTTTTGTGATTTGAAGACAATGGCACTATATAATTTCTTGCATATAATGCATGCATATTGCCCCATATAATAAATCGTTAGATATTAAGTGCAAAGAATTAGAAATTAAATCTACTTGTTTGCCTCAATTCAAACGGCATTTTTACTAAGTAATAAATTCTAAAAATCAAATTTTAAACTAAAGCATATAACTTATTATTAGTAAAATATTTACTTAAAACCATATGTTGTGAAAAACAAAATTTCAAACGAAGAGACATTATAAATTAATAATCTAATAAAAATACGAAAATTTCAGATTTGCTTTTGCCAGATTGAACGTTAATATAAAGATTTTGCCATATTGACCATTAATTTAGTGAGTTTGCCAGTTGGTAAAGAATTAATTATAAACCGTTTTCATTATTCATTTTTCCTGATAAGAATATACCTCAACAACATCAATTGCATGGTCACCCCGCTTAAACACAATTATTTGTTCCTGATGTATTTTCTTCGGGACATGATGCCAGCATCAAAGGATTCAAAATTCGAAAGGTTATAAATGGAAGGAAGTTGTGGATAATTATTCGTTATTAATGTATTTTCTTCGGGACATGATGCCAGCATCATTCGTGTTGAGAGGAATCAAAGTTCGAAAGGTTACAAGTAGAAGAAAGTTGAGGATAACAGTGAGTTTGAAAAATCATTCTTTCAAGATATTCTAGTCGAGCGCAAGTTTCAATTCTTTCAAGACGTTCTAGTCTGGCGCGAGTTTCAATGCGAGAAGCCCGACGAAGCTGGAGAATGCGCTCTCGATTTCTTTCATAATATCTTCGATTAGCGGCTTGACGAGATGACCTATGCTGAGGCATATTGAATAAGAGATAAATGAGATTGTTGTGTTGAATCCAAACCAGAAAAAAGATTTAGAGGCATGTAAATTTACCGTAATTTATAAAATTTTTTATATTAAGTTACCAAATCAATCATCGATAAATTACATATAAACAACCATGCATAAACAAAGGATGATCTACAATTATTCTATACATTTTGAGCTCTAACCAAAAAAAAACAAATCCTCATTTCTCTTATAATTTTGGTAATTATATGATTATTATATGAGCTCTAACAAAAAATAAATAAATAAATAAAATAAAAGCCAATAATCGACAACATCTGGCGTTCGTTGATTATCTACCGAAATATCCCGAGATACTTTGATATTAAACTATCCTTTCTTTGGCTTAATGCCAGTCAAATTTCTAATTAATTCTTATCCCTTAAATCGTCAATTTGACTACGAATCTAGACTACAATCCAATATAATTAATATAATTTGATAACTTGATTAAAGATCAATCAAGAAATTTCCAGGAAAATTTGCATGCACGATGGTGTGAGGGATAAAAAAGATTTACTCTGACTTTTCCCACTTACCGTTCCGGACAATGCTCATTTTTCCGGAGTATAACATATTTAAAGTCCTGGTAAAACCCTGACCATAATCTGCTTCTAATTTCAATGAAGTTCAAAAGGTCAGAAACCGAATGTTACCAGGATTTAATTTTTTTACCCAAACGTTATCATTTTTCGGAATGATAACCTGGGAAAATCAGTTATGTTTTTCTAATTTTTTTTTATAGGAATTCAGTAACTTACCCAGTACTTAGATAACTTACCAAATGGTTTTTCATATCTAAATAAAGCGTCAGGCAGTTTCGATCTTTTTTAATCTAATATTGTTACGAAGTTATTATTACGTTCAAGTTTTTTTCTCAAATCAGGTCGACTACATTTTTTCTAAGTCAATTACGGAATTGCTTATATTAATCATACATTGCCTTTTCTAGTTTAAAAACTGGCCAATAATACCTAAGTAGGAAGAATTCCCGTGATATACAGAATGCTTAAAACCTCATCTGTGAAGAGTCTTGGTCTTCGCATAATGTCCGTACTTCCATTTTTAGTAATCAGTATAAAATAAGGTACGATATATAATGTAATAGATTTTTAAAATGTTTGGGTATTGTAATCAGAAAAAATCCTCTTGACTAAATATAAATCGGCAATATTAATACCTCCTTTAGAGTAGTAAACACTTCCTATCATAGTATCCTCCTAGTAATAGTAACCGTAGAAGTACTCTAAAACTGCATAAATTCAACTGTATAAAATTGAAAAAATTCCTATAGATATATATGATTGTGTGTACCAACATTGGGCGGTCTCTATCGTAGCCTTTTGATAATGATAATTATTTGTTACATGAACTGATGGGTGAAACTTCTATATTTTCATTCTCATAATGCTATGAAGTATTCTGAAAAAACATGAAACACAAGAGCCCTCTAGCATGACTACCCAAATTATATAAGTATATTTGACTTATCAAAGAATATAACAAATACCAAATATAGGGACAGCTAAAGCCATGTCCGATTAGAAGTTACTTTTTTGATGAAATTTTTGGTTTGTGGTTTATAAAAACACCAAGAATAGGATTTATGCAATATGTAGGTCAATATGATCATTGGACACGGCTATAGACGACCCCAAATATAGTAATATCTAATAGAAGTGTAACGCTACGCTATGTATTACTGAAATTCTGATACTTTAAAATATGAAACTGTGAACCAACGACATAGCAAAAATTGCTATTTCTAAATCTTATTTATTTTATAATAAATGCGCTAATTTTAAAATACGAACCTGATCAAAAAAATAGAACAATATATAACGAACAATTAATAATAAATAGAAAAGTTTACATTTGGGTGATCTATCAACTAATCTAAATATAGCCATTACTATTTAAACATGATAAAATTTTATCAATACATTTATTTTTGTATAAAAATATATAAAATTGGTGGATCTTTTTTTAGATGTACAGGTTGCAATTCTTTTTTTAGCAAAAAGTCTCAACGCCAATCAACATCTTTTTATTCCAATCGCAAAGTTACAAAAACGTTTTATATTTTATATTGAAAACGAATTCATTTTCTAGTTATTATCTGCATTGTTGCTTGGATAATCTCAACAAAATTTAAAAAAAATTTTTAATGAAATATTGTTAATTACAATTTATTATAAAGTTTTATATGATACCATACATAATTTAACTTATATGTTATTGTTATAACTAAAAATCAACCCGGATCTGTGTGTTATTCCATAATTATTCAAGCGTCAGTACCAGACTCGATTTTTACTTATACACAGTTCGCGGATAATAACTGATTTATCCAGCAAACTCTTATGATCATAAATAAATTTCTGCACGTTATTTTTTTCATGTGATACGATGTAATCGTGTTTATTCAAA